TTCGACATGTAAAGAAGACAATTAAAGCTGTACGTATTGGCTCAAGGTTTTGTGGTGTCTTCAAACAGACATCAACGACTTTTTTTAGCATGGGCAACACGCGTCTCCGGTCGGGTCGCCGCATTCAAGGCCCTTCACTCGTGTCATGAAGTTTGAGACTCGAAAAATGACAGAAACGTCAGCAACACCAAATCGAATTCTCAATTCATTAATTGATCAGTTCTCGCTTAACCAAGGCAACGTTCCTAAGCTACAAACAGTCCAAAACTATGTCTACAATCACAAAAAAAACAATTCTCCTCCAAACAGATATACTGGACGATATGATTTCCATTGCAAGAAGTGCTCAGTATTCTGACGATCTTGATGAATCGACTACGTTCACGTTTGGATATAACGTGGACAATGAAGGAGATCCGGTTCTTGGAGACGGGATAGACGAAGATCCTTTCGTTGTGGCGTTTTCTACGAAAACAATGATGCGTCAGCTGGATCGTGATCCCGAGCCCTTCTTATTTCATATGGACGCAACATTTAAGCTGAACACAGTTGGTTTTCCTCTGTTTGTGTGTGGAATTTCAGATGCATCGCGGTCATTTTTTCCAGTGGCACTTTTTCTGGTTTCACAAAGAACTGAAACTCAGTACGCAGCTGCGCTACTTTCAATTAAACAACAATTTCTTCGTGTTGTCGGACGTCCCGCGAGAGCTACGTACTTTATGGCTGACGCGGAGGACGCCCAATACAACGGATTCAGGCGCGTGATTTCGTCAGGGTGTGAGTCATCGTATATAATGTGTTGGTTTCACGTAGTCAAGAATGTACGAGACAAGCTGAAAGGACTTTCAGATGCAGCGGTACATCTGGTATTTAAACATTTATACGAGATGCACTATGCTCGTAATCACCTTGAGTACGAAGAGCTCAAGGCGACAGCATTTCAGAAGTGGGCTAATGTGGATTCGCTAGGTAATTTTGTCGATTACTTTAACCGGGAATGGGTTATTTCTCGTTATTGCAACTGGCAGTGTTTTCATTCTACATCCGGGTACGCTAAGACGAATAACCCCGCTGAGACATTCAACAAGCTGATTAAAAGAGACTACAGTCTTCGCGTACGTCTTAAAACGGGCGAATTGATGCAGAAAGTACTGCTTTTGTGTAAGCACCAATCTATTCGTGCCTCCGTTTTTGCAATTGAAGCCAAGCCCAGTGAAAAACTCGTTTCTCGTGCGAAAAAATTGTATTTATCACCGAATCTCGCTATAACAGAGAGACAATACGACATTCGCTTTTTGCTTGGCGAAATGAGCACGGCTGAAGATATACTCGTAGCTCGAAGCTACAAGAGTGGTGATGATTATCGGGACACACAGGATAAAAAAGAGGTGAACAAGCGGCGAATGGAGCGATGGGGTCAGCCGACACATGGATGGGATGTAAACGTTACTCGGCGCGTGTGTCCATGTCGATCGTTTTTTAGATATGCATTTTGTGTCCACTTAGTTGTGTGCATGAAGATACGAAAGCTAAGAGTGGCTGGCTGGAAAAATGATCCACGTCCTCTTGCTAATCGTAGGATTAGACGGAATCTTTCCTCTAACAAAATCGGGATGGTAACTACCACGACCATCAACACTGTTGAAAGAAGCAACGGCGCGTCCAGTAATAGTCGACGGGGTGATCGATCTGGATCAGGACGCAACCTAGGTGGTCGACGTATCTCGGCAGGAGGTCGTGGCAATGGTATCTTACGGGATAGTATTGGTGATACAAGAAGAGATCGGACTGATTCCGCACAACGCCAGACAAATATCTCCCTTCGTGGATGTAGGGGTAGAGGTGGCACTGGAGGACGAATGAGAACTGTTGGTCATGCATTACAAAGAGAATAGATGAACGGATGCTATATTATTTGAATATATACGATTTAATATTCATTCAATCAGCTGATAGTAATGTAACTAAGCAATGCGTTGAGTTTTTGCGTTTGTCAAATTATTTCGGCAGCTATGAGCCATTAAATGTGGGGATCCCTGCTGGTTTCTTGAAATATTGAAACGTCGAAGGGAGAATGGGGCATCTGGATCCTCAGAGACGTTTAACTCTCTGCATTTTTCATATGCAGATACAGCAGCTTCTCTATAGCCATCGTGTACCTTTCGAATTCTATTCTCCGAGAATTCTTGCGAAGGTTCATCCTGAACGTCTCCATGCTCAGGCGGAAACATTGCATTACCCCTCATAGATACAAACGCTGTAGCCAAGCGCGTAGCTATAGCCGTATATGCGTCCTCGGCTGTCGTTGCTCCATCGTCATCACGTGACTGCAGTATAATGCTCTCAACGGTACCAGTTACCGCATCAATGACGCCGCTTAAGCTCCCGCGATTGTATGACGTGTGAATGTTTAGGTTGCGCTCTGCTGTCAGAACTTGATAGTATTTATTACGGGCTCGAATCAGCTTCGCTTGGGTTTGCTTAATGTTTGTAGTTTCAGACACACGTTTTTGTGATTGGCTCCCTTCTCGTTTCGACTTCTTTGTAGAAGAGTGAGATCTAGTCCCTTTCTTACTTCGTTTTGTGCGCTCATCCTCTATCCCGATCCCTTGATCAATAAGGTGCCGGGGAAATCCTTCATCCGCAGTCTTGTTCAACATCAGCAGCCTTTCTTCTAGAGGCAGAACACTCCAAGCAGCTCTCAACGCAACACCGCCTCGATTCAGCAGCCATTTACTGTCCGATACGCGTAGATATGTCCCCTGTAGTTGCAATCTATCTCGAGCGTACTTCTGAGCGTATATAGATCCATTATCTGAAGCGAAAAGCCACACGGCAGCATGAGCTCGCATGGTGTTTTGATTTTCCGACTGAAGGTGATCTTCGATTCTTGCTCTGCACCTAGTAGTGCAAGCTCCAGAATTAGAAGCAGGTCTATTACAAGCATCTCCAATCTTCCCTGTAGGCGAAACGCCTACATAATTATGTTCCAGATTCAATAATTATGCTCTAGAGCATATATAGTGAATGATAGTAACTTGTGAGTATTTAACTGCTAAGTAATAACTCCCGATAAGCTAAGACTAATTGTGCACTATGGCATAGTTCAGCATTAATAGTGCATACGCTACTCGTTTAAATCGGCGGAACGCTACATGCGAGTCTAGTTGTGATGTTTCAAGATACAAATAACAAAAATGAAGGCCAACACAAAATGTGCACTGAGGCAGAATTCAACGTGGCTGGTGTGCTCGAGCTGTCATCACGTGGTCGACGAAGCATTTTCCACGCAAACGTACGCCAGTCGTACTCCATCGCGACCCGGTGACTCAAGACTAATTCTGCACTGAAGCAGATTTTGCTACGTGCAGTTATCGAAGCGGTAAGGCGTCGAAATATGTCAATCATAAAACTAGGAATATTAATAAAATTGTTTTCTCATATGACTACTCTATCGATAGTAATGAACTTGCACAGCTGTTCTAATCTTACATACGTTTCTTGGATGCATCAGTTCAGATCTTATGTAAAGTTAAAGTTGCCTGGTTTAAATCTAAGGTTTTCTCATTTACTTGCTCTTAGGTTACTGCGCATTATGTATTTGTCGCTTCAAATTGGAGTAACTGTGCGATACCCAGGGACGGCCCGGCTACACGAATTGAAGCCAAGGGTGCCTGTAGCTGCGGGTTGAATTATCCGCCTAGCTGTTTTCTATCTATTCGGCAATGTCGAATCGTACGCATAGTCAAAACTCGTTGTGTATTCGTCTAATCTTCAGCACTACAGTTAGGCGTGTACGCCGTCTTCGAGACAACCGGTCTAGCCGTATTACGCAGTATATCGGTCAGACAACCGAGAAGAGTGGGGCGCTTCTTCATGCAGCATGGATCATGATACGAAGTATGTTCAACTTGTAAGTCACTTATTTTGTTATGGCATCGTTAGCGCGCAAAGTGCTTTAACAGCTTCAGGGTAATATTCTCTTTTTTACTCGAGCAAACAGCAACATGGGCAACAGTACCTCCGTAGGGCAATTAATCAAGAGAAAACGAAATGACAGTGCCGCTGGCTTGTGTTTCATTCGATGACCCATCTTGCAATACGTGTATACCGAACGGACGTTGGTTGGTCGGTCAACCTCCGGCTGTAAGCAATGTTTAGATTGTCATCGTCTCTCCACTTTATACAGTACCACATGGAGATGAAGGTTAAACCGCAGTGGACTTCCGAAAGCAACAGATTCAGATGTCCCCTCGGATGTAGCCACCGCGCGAAGATGTCGTCCGAACGCCAAAGAACCAGCGACTGAACGTCCTACAGTGTAGCATTCGTAGCATCAGGTTGGCCAATGTGACGAGGAGTTTTTTTTTAAGGAAGCGACAGGGCGCGCGTATCAGCCGACAGGCACATTGTACCTCCAACTCCCGCTATTAGATTCGCCATGCCATGGTCGCGGCACTGAAATTATGACGGCATCAAAGCCATCCAAGCTATTACCTTGGCATTCCTGAGATTCTCAGTCTTATCGAGTATATTGGCGACGATAACTTAGCACGACGCGGTCAAGTTCGGCACCAGTGTACGCATGGCAACCATAATCACCAAGCATTCAAAGGCCGCTCCTGGGCCAGGAGTCCTGGACTGAGAGTTGCACTATAGAGATCGGCCAGGAGTCCTGGCCGATCTCTATAGTGCACTCTCAGTACTGTACACCGACGTCCATCCTGATGAATCAGCGATGATACCCACCGTCCCACGGGCATCCTCTGTATTCAAATTGCTCGTGATGTAGGTCGGAACGACAACCACTCTCGGGACATCAAATTGGTGCCTGAGTGCGCATCCCTCGCGCACACTCTCCGACGCCGCTTGGGATCGCTTCTCTTGAGTCACAACAGCACAACAGCAACTAGCTCCGTTGCCTTGGTTGCCTAGTTGGTGAGACCTTGGCATCACTCGCTTCAACTCGGATCGTCAGTTCTCGATTCGCTGCATCCCAAATGGAGGACGAGTTTCAACTAGCGGCCATGCTCCCCACAGCGGGATATCTCTTCGCTGAAGAGCTGGACGCGCATTTCCACGCCCTCGACGACTTCAACGCCATGCTCCTGCAGGATGACTGTGTAGACCCCAAGGTCACGGCAGTAGAATGCTCCTTCAGCTTCGTCCGGCCGACGCCGCCGATAGCGCCCAGCTCACCTTCATCGGTGGTGTTTCTACCCACATGCAATAGCTTCGACGAGCGGTATATCAAGCAGGAGTCTATAGCTCCAATCTCCTACACTGACACGGTCTTCATTAAGCCAGAGTCTCGGTACGCCACCCGTGAGGATACTTTAAGTGAGGAGGACAAGGAGCGTCTCCGACAACGCCAACGAGGCTACGAGAAACGATACCGTGGCCGTAAGAGGGTGAGTACTATTGCTACCTAGTCAAAACACGTGCAAGAACCAACGTTTGTCTTCACAGAGAGATCTCAAACAACAGCGCGACGAGTGGCTGGAGCTTGAGATGACGCTGCACGCTGATCGCAATAAGCGCTGTAGACCCTACGTCCGCATGGAGCAGAGTGGCCGGGACTCCCTCCGCCACAAACTACTGCTACTCAAGCTCGAGGAGCGCGCACTTCGCCAGGACCAGGTCGCAATGCGCTCGCTCCAGGCGTGGGAGCAAATCTCGCGGATCCGCGAATACTCGGACAAGGAACAGCTGCGCACGGCGAGTGAGTGGCGCCACAGTGCCGACAAAGTGATCGGCCGCTGTGCACTGCTCGGGCCGGACCGATTCCACCCGTACGCGCCGTTGAAGCAGCGCCACTTCACGTGGTGAAGTAACTTTTCGACGACTGCATCAATTGATTTTTTCTACTAACTAAGCGAATTTGACAGTAAAGTATCCAATTAACACCGTCGAACACTCATATTTAGAGTTTTTTGCTCTCGTCGTTGCTTCAACGACTAGGGGAGACGTGCCCACTAAAACAATATGGGGAGAGCGAAACCTACCAGTGCACTTTGAGGCAAACTACTTCAAGTGACCGATGCTTGAAGTTGTTTCCTCGATCTTGACAGTCATCCTATCGAGGACGTAAGATACAACTTTTTAGTTAAATGTCACAATAGAAAATCGAAAGTTACGGTGATTGCGTCATACTAAGTTGAGCAGGATAAATACTGCATCTGTGGAACCTATTTTTCCAATATTTTTTACCTTGAAGCCCACTCGTTTCATAACAATTTCATTTCCTTGCAGTTTAAAACTCGGCTGCGGCGGCAGCTACATATTCAGCCGGTCAGTTGCTACCGCTTCGCTAGAACCCTGTACATGTACAATGTTCTACACTGCACACGGGAACTTAAGCTCGTCCCGTGATGTGGTACCTCAAGCATCATTGGACAACCAACGTCGCAGACGAGGCCACACAGCGAAAGAAGATGACCGACTATAGAGTCTAAGCCAAACAACGTCCAAGTCCGAGATTCGTCGACCAAAGTCCACATTAGTGCTGCGCTGAACATGCTCATAACAGCGCCGAAGAGCTAAAAGTTGTTGTCCAAGCGCTAAGCTCAGTAGACAGAAGACGGTGATCTGCTCAGCTTCACACCGCCCTGTTTACGCTGAAACAAGTACCTTGGAATGACCCGCAGTGTCAGTCGGCCGTGGCCCAACCACAGTACAGTAGCCCCAAGCTCAACTCAGGCGTTTGCTGCAAATTGCAGCCATCCTTCACAGTGAAGAGCTCACCTCAATCGAACGATACAAACAAGGTGCACGCCGCTCCGAGCAGTCAGTTGGCAAGGATCGGCTGTCATTCCGCAATTCTCGAGCTTCCGTCGATATGAGTTACCGTGACTTGAACCTCATCGCCGTGCGCAGCTTCCTCAACGAGCTGAGTCTCGACGAGATCATCCAATATGGTCCCATAGGACCTACTTCCGACAGATGGGCCTGCCTTCTCGATGACGCTGAAATGACCGGCGAGCCCTCGGTGTCGGGGACCACGTCGGACGAGGCCAGTGACAGTGAGGACCTCCAGCCAATAAGCGTGGTCAGGAAATGCCCCACTAAGAAGCCCAAGAAGCCTAAAACGGAGCTCCAAAGGAAGCTCCAGCAGGTATACGACAAGAAGAGTCGTGTCAACAAACGCGTAAGTCCACAGTTTCGGTCAATTATATAAATATATTTACAAAAATTCTGACATTTTTTAACTATCAGGCAAAACATACAGCTTTGGGCGATTCGTTCGTCCCGGTACTCGAGGAATTTGTGGCGTTGATACAGTTCCGCCTCGCCAAGACGGAGAACACGGCGAGTTTGCTCTCCCTCGCTAAGAAGAACGGAGTCTTTATCCCGAGTGGAGACGTGGCGCAACTGCAGTTGGAGCTCAACCAAGGAGCTCTTGAGTGCATTCAGTCCACTGTGGAGGACTGGGAGGCGAGAAAGACCGGGAAGACGGGCAAGTGTTTCTTAAAGCACTTGACTATGGAGATTCAAAGTATATTGAACAGTTTGGTGGCGCTGGGCGAGCAGTTGAAAGTGGCATCGGATGCGCTGCGATGGCGACTTGAAGCGAAGACTACAGGAGTCTGGGTATAAATTTTGTAAAACGTAATGTAATATTTGTAAATACCCCTTCTTACCTTACAGTGGACTAGTGTCCAACCTTGTAGAGTACAGAGTTCCAACGCGGATGTCAATGTAATGACCGTGAAGGTCTTGTACCTTGCACCGTCTACCCTTAAATTACAGAGTGGCTTAGCGTTGCAGTCCCCTCCTTTGCTTGGGGAGGAGCCACGACAACAACTAGACGTTCGCGCGCCCCCATAACAGGTAGACGACAACGCTGAAGCCAAGAGGACGACGTTGAAGTCCGAAGACATGGCCATGCATTGTCCTCTTCATTTCTCTTTTTGCATTCCTTCGCAACCATGAACGACGTCGAGTTCAACGCTGTATGGGACTTCCTAAACGAGTCTAACCTCGACGAACTGGTCGGGGGTCAAGTGACTACTGCCAATGACGCAACAAGTTTCCTCCAAAGCGCATTTGAGGCTTCTGTTGCTGCATTTAACGCTGGTAACACCAGTCCGTCCAAGGCTTCTGTGATATCTAACAGAACCAGCGTGGAGAGCACGTCCGACGATGAAATGCAGCCATCTACTCAACCTCCAAGACCGTCGATGACGGTGGACCAACGTGAACGACAGAAAGCGTATGACCGGAAATATCGTAAAAAGAAAGATGTACGTTGGTAGTATTGAACGCTTTAGTAAGGATGTTCTAGTGGCTAACTCGTAGTGGGGCAGGTATGGAGAACTGAAGCGGCCAAAGCTTTCGTCGCCGGGTTGAGACTCCTCAATGTATTGCTGGACGATCGAATTCAAAGGACGAGGAAAGTTTCGGCGACGATGAGATTGTTGGTTCTCGGCAAGGACGACCGGAAGTTCCCCGACTTTGATCGAGAAATGGAGGGGGCCAACCACGAGGCCAAGACGCAGCTGGGGTTAAATCAAGCTGCTAAGACATACATCGAGCTGTGGACAGCCACGTGGACACTGAGTAAGATCGAAAAGGGCAGGTTCTTTCTGAAACCGTACGCGCCGGATATCGAGAAAAACCTCAAAGAGCTGGTCAAGCTCGGAGAGAAACTTAAGGAATCGACGGTGGAGTTAGAGTGGTGTCTGGATCAAAAACCGAAAGGAGTTTGGGTTTAATTCTGAATATTGTTTTTGGTTTTTAGTTTGTTGTAAGTGAAAAAAAAAAAGGTTGTGTTGCAACATGGTGGAACGCATCTTCCTAGAGTTGCTTTTTAGTTTCTGGAGGCGTTCCGACAACTCGACGAAGACCTCTGCAATCTAAAAGGAGCAGTGGTTGTTACCCTATCAGATCGAATGATACACCTTCGCGCGAAAAAAGTTACGAGGTCAGGCACTGTCTGCACATCTCAGGTTGATTCGAAATCACAAACTAGAAGTCATTCTCCCTTTCGCTCAGGCGTCGACAACCGATCAATGTGTGGCTTCCAGTGTGACTACAACATATTCAGCCTACTCCCAGGTGGCTGCACGATGCTGCTGATCTTCTCGAAGCCACTTTCAACGCCTCCGTAGAAGAGCTGAGCGTCGAGTTGTAGGGGGGTCAGACAGTAGAATCTTCAGCAGCAACTCGTTCGGACGAGGTCTACTATTCTGACAACGACGATATGCCTCTTGCCGTCGTCGCTACCAGCCTTAAAAAGACGAGGAAGAGAAAGATAATTAGGACCGAATCACAGCGAAAACGACAGAAAGAGTACGACAAAATGTCTCGTTGGAGCGAGGAGCGCGAGAATCAAGCAAAATTTGATACAGGACTTAAAGTGCTCGATGTGACGTTGAAAATTTCAAGTTGAGAAAACCAACAAATTTCACGTTAACGAAGAGATTCACGCATCTCGTCAAAGACGCTTCGGTCTATCACATTGAGGAGGAAGGAGGCAGATAGATACAACTGAACCATGCAGCAATGACGGTAATTATTTTTTGGGATATGACCTGGAAACACAACAGAGCCGAGTACGGAATTTACTTCCTCAAGCCCTGGGCTACAAGCATTCAGCTACTAATCGGAAAATCAATTGCTATCGGGAAACTACTGACTGAAGAAACGGTTGAACTCGAGTTTTGCATTGCGCAGAAGCCGCAAGGAGTGTGGGTTCAGTGATTATCTGTAGAAATCTAAGTAAAAATACTATTAAATCCACTAAGTCGAACCTGTCGACTGCGCTTCAGCATCTTCGCAGCTTTTACCTTTTCCTCCAATCTGAGGAATATACCAGCAATGTTTAATAGCAATCCCACCAACACCCGTAGAGTCCAAATCTTTAGTCATTGACCAACTATCATCAAACGTGTTAAAACCCACTTTCAACCAAGTTGGGGACACATTGAGCGTAAAGAACCCATACGGATAATGGCCAGCAGCCCATACATTCTCCACGTAATCTTCCGCATAGGGTGGGATTCCACTAGGTGACTCATTTTGGATCCCGCCACCCGCGCCATTTTCGATAAAATGGGTCTTAAACGCAGAATAGTCGTGTTTCTCGCCGTGAGTGTGGCCATAGAGGAAGAGTTGGATGCCAAGACCGTCCAGTAGCTCACGCCACTTCTCAGCTGGCCCGGGAGCGTAGTGATTGTATGGCGAATAGTGCGTGTTCACAATCTTCCAAGTCGCATTCGAGGCTTTCGCAGCTTCCACTAATCTGTTCCTAGAGTCGTCACCCCAGGCTTGAAGCTTGTCCATACAGGCGTCAAACATGCTAGTATCCCCTCCAGCACATAGACTGTCTCCACGCTTCACGTTCTCACATGCGTCGTCATCTTTTCCAGAATATCCGTAACATTGACAACAAATTTGCTGTGCGCCGTGCGAGTCGGCGTCATTTGTGTCCAAATTGAAGATATCAATCGTTAAATTTGACGTTGGATCAGCGATCGAATGTACAAAGAAATGGTCGGGCATAATCCATCGGTTGTCTTGTGGACTCACATACTGTGACTGCAACGTGAACTTGTGGTCCAAACTGGCCAATAGCTCGCTAGTCGACGAACATTCCACCGCTTGTTCCCCATCCGTACACACGAAACTGGCACCTCCGTAGTCGTGATTGCCCATGACGTTGACCCACGGAATCCCTGTCAAACTCGCAGCACTGTACTTGTCCTCGAATGTCTGTTGGAAACGATAGGCTTGGTCCGTTGCGCCATGTAAACCGTCCCAATAGAAATTGTCTCCATGACCGATTACGACGGAAGGACGGGGCTGCGCTACAGCCGCCGCTTGTCCCAGTAAGATTGCCACATATTCCATCGCATTATAGTCCAAAACGGTGAAAGTTTTGCGTCGCGAGCAGCAAGATCCGCCGTCTTTAGCAATTGTACGACCCCAATCTCCAATAGCCAACGCGGATACGGAATAATTTTCTGTTAAAGGATCCGTCTTCTCCTCGTCTTCGTCCGATGACCCACTACTGGAGTTGTCCTTTTTGAACTTACGTAGCGTATCCTTGACACGTGGCTTCACCTTTTCATCTGTAGAACTCCCTCGCTTAACGTTATCTTTCGATTTAGTGGAGGCTTTCGAGCTCGACACTGTGACAGCGATAACGACGACTGCGATGATGACTGCAAGTGCCACTAAGACACTAATCACGAGCGCTCTCTTCTGCATTGTCAACGACAAAGCAAGAAAAATAATGGAGACCGTAGAAGAAACAATTAGGCATTTCAACATCAATCACGTTGCTATCCCCATCAAAAATTAATAAGAAAATCCAATGATTTCCCAGCATAAAGTTTTTTTTTAATCTATTTGAAGTCGGTTCTTAATTTGTCATCTCCATCCATCGATGAAGAAGGGCGGTTCTTATCGAGATGAGCACCACAGACGACGGTCTCGACAGAGTTTCCGCAGTCAGGAGCTGTTGGCTTCACTCACGTTGTCAGCCGAAGCCATCACGCTTAATTCCGAGTCTGGCGATGCAGAGGAAGCGGCAGCTCGAGCTTCACGACGCAGTACAAGAAAGTCGACGCTTCAACTCGTCAAGACTCGGTCTTCTGTCGCTCATCAAAGCACTCAAAGCCTCGCGAGCGTCACAAATACAAAGATTATGACGATGAAGAAGCTTAAACTTAGGCGTAAATATCGATTAGGTGTGCACGGCTCACTTCGAGAAGAAGATGATGATGACGAGCTGGATAGTCCAGCTATAAAATCTAGACATAAATCGTTGATGCCTCTGCTACCAGCTATTCTACCAGGACTGATACCGTCTCCCACTCCAAAGAGTGTCACTAAGGGAGATGAGAAACATGCAGTTGGGAAGTTCGAAACTCACGATACCAAGTGGAGAGCCACAGTCGATGGACAAGTCGAGAAGTTTATGTACCCAAGTCTACGACTTGAAACTTTATACTTGGAGAAACCGATTCCGGATTCTGAAGATGATAAGCCAATGCCATCTCCGAAGACAATTGACGAGGTGTTGACTAGCACTTCAAAAGTGAGTTGGGAACTGGAGCGTGTTGCGCCAAGTCCAGTACATGGTCCTGTGCAAGAAGAGGATAGTAAAAGACTTCAGTTTGACCTGAAACTTCATGACGCTGAGGTGATTTTACGGAAACGTGAAGCCGCTTCTATGAGGATAAACACATCTCCATCGTCTTTAGAAACAGCCGCAAGGAAGTCGAGTTGTCTGACTGGAGAACACTCAAAGGAAAGAACAACTCAAGCGCATTCTTCGCTTTATCAAGATACACCGACGCCAACTCAACAGCCGATTCCTCGACTCCCACAAGCTCGAAAGTACGTACTCTTGATACTTAATACTACTGGAAGAATTTTAACTTGTGTCTGAATAGGTTGATAAAAGAGATCCAGCGGCATACAACTAATGCCGGTCAGATCGACTACTATGCTGATAAGCAGCACCTTTTCACCAAGTGGAGAAAGGTTGAGAACTCGCAGCACCACCAGCTTCGTCCTCAACAACATCTTCCGTATGACTCCGACAATGACGAGGATAGCGATCTGGAACCAGAACACGACGATGGCTCGAGCCAAATGTTCGGCAAGTTGTCACCACGGTCTCTTTTCTACGACGAATGTGTGAAAAACCAGATTCTTCCCGAGCCAATTTTCTCGAGAATAAACGAGGTAGCAGCTCCAACTTCTCATCCTCCAACGGCACGACAGTCCTCATCTCGCTCTTCCATAGCTGATGTCACTTCAATGCTGTTGAGTATGCAGAAAAAGAAACATCCTAAGCGTCATCTTGCGCTTCAACTTCAACAATTCGGACTGGGGGATGCCAAAATTATCGCTTTGTCGAAATCTCTTCATGGATTCCAAGCCATTCAAGTTCTAGATCTCAGTGACAATCGTCTCACTGACGTCGCAATTATTCCATTGTTACAATCACTTGGTGCAGCTCCTACCGCTTATGACGAACACAAGTCTGCTGATCGATCTCCAAAAGCGAAGCTTCTTGCTGCGAGTCAAGCAATAAACAATGGAGAATGTATCCTCACGGTACTAAATCTCAGCAAAAACGAGATTGGTCGCAAAGGTTGTGAGCAAGTTGCACGCTTTCTGGCAGTCTGTAAGACGCTGACGTACTTGGACTTATCGCACACAACGTTAGGTGGAGATGACGAAGCGTTCGCGCCAGTAGCAGTTGCAATTGAGGCTCATCCGTGTTTAAAACGAGTGAATCTTTCGCATAATTCGATCGGAGAACGAGGTGGAACTCTGCTTGGCACCATGTTGACTAATCCTGCGTGTACTGTACGAGCTCTGGATGTGTCGTGGAATAATATCCGTCGAAGTGGAGCAGTGGCTTTAGGTATTGCAATGCGTTCGAATACCTCATTACAGACACTGTATATGAGTATGAATCGATGTGGAGATGGCGGTGGAGAGCAGTTAGCAGCAGCGTTAGCGTCTAACACAACTCTAACCGAACTGGATCTATCGCACAACGCTCTAACCGGTGCAAGTGCAGTAGCTTTCGGCTTCTTTTTACGTCAAAACCACTCACTTCGAACATTGGACATGCGAGATAATAGTCTTGGAGAAGTCGGGGCACGTGCACTGCTGAGAGCTATCGCGTTAGGCTCAAGATGTGAGATTAACTTGTCTGTCCACGACCTTGAATCTTCCGCTACAGGGTCCACATCTAGCTCGCCGATTTTTGACGCTAATCTACCGTCTGCTTCGTCTCCATTTGAGCTTAAAATCGGGGAATCGCCCTATGCGTTCGCCGTCGCGAGTGAAGTAATCGACGCTGCGTTAATCCAAGGACACTGTATGCTCTCCGATCTAAGCCACGAGGACGATGATATACCTCGATCTAAAGCTAAATCGGCCAAGAAGAGGTCCTTATTAGGGTTCGATCAGGACCGACGTTGCCTCTATAGCGTTCAAGACGCCGATAAAACTCCATGGACGCTGCCAGCACGAGGCGTCTTACGAGCTGTGGCTACATTTATGGCCCCTCCACTGCCTAGAGGCCCCGTGTCATGGCTGGATGAACAATCATGCTTGGGTCTAATTCACATTGTAAAACGCGGCTTCTCATCGCGAGATATGATGAGTCTTCTGGATTTGGTGTTATCGGATTTGCAGCTTACAACCACACAAGCAACGTTTTTTGTGAGTCACTTGCAATCGTCGTTGCCAAAGATGGAGCTTCTAGGCAGACTCTGGCCGTGTCTAATTGACGGAGAAAAGGCGTTTACTTTTCTACAAGAACATTTGACTCAGCCAGAGCAGTGGCGACTTATCGATCGCTTCGGTCCAGTGCTGATGCAGTTCTCGACAGCTAATCCCACGGGCCATTGGACGTTGACACTAAGAGATGCTAGACACAGGAAACTTGCACTCTGGTTTGCCTCTTTAAACGCATACCACACTGGTGTAGTGACTCGCTCCCACTCTAAACGTTCCGACTGCAGTCAGTACGGACGTGGCTTCCACTGGCGCAACGTAGTCTTCAACCAGAAGCGTATTCAGTTAACCTACTCGTTCTTTGATCGCTTACCACGTGACGGAGTACTGGAGTTCGATTACGTGTCTCCATTACGACCAGAAGACAGAGATCTGGAAGACACTAATCTAGAATTTCCAGAAGGTACAGAACTGGATCAAACCACTCTTCAAGACGCTATGACGGACGAGGAGTTGACAACTTTATTAGCTCAAGTAGGAGCTGAAGTGTGCGCTGTCTACGTCCCCGTCCACAAGCGGCAGAATCTCAAGTATCACTTAGTACTATTTCACCTTGCTATTGCTGGTCGACGAGTGATGACGAGACAAGCACATTATGTACTACAACACTTTCCCAAGAATTACGAATCTGGACGTTTACGTGCATTAGTGGTCATGCATCACGCTATTGTGGACTTGGAATCTTTCGGGGAGTTATTGGATCGTCTGGCGCTCACAGACCGTCCACGTGTGTATATGAATCTGGGCTATCTTAACACAATAATGCCTTTGAATATTGATATGGATTTTGAAGTGGATTTCACTCGTGAAGACGAGAAAACGCTACTACGAGCACTCGTGGATTTATCGATCTCGTGTCCAATGGACATGATCCGTATCGATAGTACCCGGTCCACTGTCCTCATCATCTACTCCATGTATCAAACTAATACTATCCCCGCTTCGGGGCGTATATGCTTCCGCTACGTCACACATCAAACCACGAATCGTCTCGAATGGCTACGTGCTCGCCAGCAAATCTATCGTCATTTCCTCTGTGGCGATCGTCTGAAAAACCTAAGCGAGGTAGCAGCTCTAGCTCTAGCAGATTGTAGTAATGATACTACAGGTCCGACGGATAGTAACACAACAACTACTACAGTGTAGTACTAAAAATAATACGTAGTACTATTCTTCAATACTTAGAAGATGTCAATGTTAATGATCTTGACGTCCTTGACCGGCTTATCGGACTTGTCCACACGCACGCTTTCGATACTAGAAACCGTATCTTTTCCATTCTCCACACGGCCAAAAACCGTGTGTTTGTTGTCTAGCCACGGGGTGGGCACAGTAGTAATGAAGAATTGCGAGCCGTTCGTTGCCGGGCCAGCGTTGGCCATGGACAAAGTGAACGGCCGATCGTGTCGTAAGCTCCGATGGAACTCGTCTTCGAACTCACCGCCCCAAATCGACTCTCCGCCGGTGCCATCGCCCAACGGATCGCCTGTTTGGACCATGAAATTCTTGATTACACGATGAAAAATGAGATTGTCGTAGTAGCCATTGCGAGCGTGAGTACAGAAATTCTCGACCGTCTTGGGACATTCCTTGCCGAACAGCTTGACGGTGATATCGCCCATAGTCGTGTGCAGCACGGCCAAGTCTCCCAGCACCTTGGCCGTGCTCGACTCGGTGGCGACTTGAGCCTCCTCCAGTGTGGGTTTCTCGTTGAAAACGTCTCGGCCACCTGTCGGGCCGTCGTCGCCTTCGTCTTCTTCAGGCTCTCGAGACGAGAAGAGGAAGAAGCGATTACGTTTAAATGACGTACAGAACAAAGTGGGGTCACTAGTGTCTCGCTCTTTGTCCGAGTCGGCCATCACTTCGGCCTCGTGTTTCAGGCCAGACGAGGCCTTTAAATGTTTCTCGAACTGCGTGTTCACCTTGGGTTTCCCTTGAAACAGACTGAGACGTAGGAACCGGTCGGAGCTTTCCACTTTGCCCAGTACTTTAACGACTTTGTTGGTCTCGATATTCAACACTTTGATACCGGCCAGTGTGGCGTACACCAGAAAGTGGCCGGACTCGTCGAACACGCAGTTGGACACGACGTCGGAGGTGGCCAACTCGCGCTCGACTGCGGCCCGACGGCCAAAGTCAAGAGCATCCAAGTGCAGTGCGTCGTCGGCCTGTGCGTCTTCAAACACCGTCAAACCTTCGTCGTATTTCCGCCGCATTTTACCGGTGGCGAACCGGAACACGCGGATCTGGCTGTCTTTGGCCGACACGACAAAGCTCTGGCCAGCGAGCGACACGTCGATGGCCGTGGCGTATGTTTTGCATTTGGCCAGCTCGAAGAGATCCGTCTCGCCTTTAAACTTGAACTTGACGACTCCTGTGGCCTTGGCCGGAAGCTTGTATGTGTTGGCGTCCCAGTACTCGATGATTCCCTTCTGGTCGGCCGAAATGACGCAGTTGGCCACGGGGTTGTACGCTATGGCCGTCACTGGAGCGGCGTGTAGCTTGCTGATAGTGTGCACAGGCTCGTTGGTCGCACTCTCGGCCGTGTAGATCCGCAGGGCCGGGCTGTTCTTGTCGGCAACCACCACCTTTGCGTTGATGGCCCCTTTGGCCGAGATCCAGCAGCACTCGGCCGGCGTGAAGGCCACGCTCAGCATGTTGACCATGTCGAAGGCCACCACGTCGTAGAACTTGATACTGCGGTCGGCCGACGTGCTGCACAGTCGGAGGCCATCGGCCGACACGGCCAGGCCATGCACCTCGTTCAGGTGGGCCTTGTAATGCTTGACAAATTCAATACCTTTGGCCATCTTCTTCCAAAATTTAACGTGGCCATCCACGCTGGCGGTAATGATAAACTGCGTCTCTGGGGCCACCAATACATGCGAGACTGTGGCCCGATGCATGAAGCTGCGTTCGTACATGGCCGCGCTCGGCAGGTTCTTCAGATACGTGGCCTCGAACGGCAGCTTCTTGGCCTTCTTCTTAGAAGGCGCGGCCGGCATGGGCATGGGCATTGGCCCCTCGTCCTCCGAGCTGGCCGCATCCTCGTCGCGCTGGTGCTTGGCCGGCATGATGCAGAGTTGCAGGATTAAATTTTTAGAGGTTGTGTTGACCACATACAGTGTTTCCTACAAAATTTAAAACAAAATTGTTGAAATGCAGATGCAACAGGTGCGCGCTGGCCGCGCGGCCCAGGTGCCCGTGCCGCCGGCGAGTGCTGCGCCGCTTGAGATTTCAAGGGAAATGCGGCAGCATCTGCGACTGACGCGACACAGTGCGTTCGAGCGGCACCAGGAGAACGCGCAATGGACCAAAGAAATTCTCGACTGTGGCACGAGTCGAAACGACGTGTCCAGGACACCCAGTGGCCTAACATCGTCACTCGAGGAGCTACAGAAACACATCGAAATTAAGAAACACGCTGCTGACGAGCTAGAGCGGCAATTGGTGCAACAGCAAGAGACACAACAGGCGACACAGCGAAGGTTTGTTCTCACATTCCATACATGTTTTAAACTGCCACCCAAGTGGCATAAACTTTGTGATGGTGTTGCAGGTTTGAGGAAATGTTGAACGCGCTGAAGACAATAGGCGACGCCGCTACGTTAAAGAACTGCGAAGAAAAACTGGAAGCCGAAAAGAAACTGTTGCTGCCAAGTGAGCAGCGCAAAATGGAGATCATTCGATTATAGACCGTTTTGTATGGTGCAACCTCAGGGGTTTTAAAGAATGCTACACTTTCCATGTTATTTTGCCCAATCATCGTTTTTATCTTTATCCTTTTTCCGTCATTTTACAACTTACACGTCAGATACAATGGCGAGCACTGTACAGGAGAACGAGTCGAAGCTGCTAGAGCCTTACGCGTACATCAGTGAGCTACCTGGCAAGAATGTTCGCGGTAGGATGATCGGCGCCTTCCAGTCTTGGCTGCGTGCGCCCACCGAGGCCGTGGAAAGCATTCAAAGCATCGTGGACCAGCTACACAACGCCAGTCTCCTTATTGACGATATCGAGGATGACTCGGAGATGCGACGTGGCCAGCCAGTGGCCCACCACATCTTCGGTGTGCCTGCCACTATCAACTGCGCCAACTACGTGTATTTCCTGTCTCTGCAAAAGTGCCAAGCTCTCGGCAACCCACGAGCTCTACAGGTCTACACAGACGAGATGTTGCGGCTACACCAGGGCCAAGGCCTCGATATCTTCTGGAGAGACCATCTACAGTGTCCTACAGTGGACGAATACCTCGAGATGGTGCAAAACAGTTGAGTATTACTTTCTTTTTACTTTACTATTTTTTTTTGAAAAACTACTAACTTCTAAAGTTATTGTAATTAGAGACGGGAGGACTCTTCCGACTGGCTGTGGGACTTATGCAGGCATTTAGCGACTCTACTATGGACTTTACACCGCTGGTAAACGCTCTGGCCGTGTATTTCCAGATCCGAGACGACTATGTGAACCTGCTGGACGAGGCCTACATGGAGAATAAAAGTTTCTGTGAGGACCTGACGGAGGGGAAATTCTCGTTTCCGCTCATTGTGGCTATTCGTGAAAACCCACAAGACACACGACTGTTGAGTATCTTGAAGCAGCGCACCAAGAGCCTCAACCTAAAGCAGTACGCTGTACAGTATCTGCGTGAGACGGGTGCTGTAGAGCTCACGCTGGCCAAGTTGAACGCGACGGTACAGGAAATCCGAAACGAGATTGCATCGTTAGGAGGCAACCCGGCACTTGAACAAATCGTCGAAGGATTGCATTCGACGATAAAGTGATTTTCGACGGGACGGGATCGCTCTCTGCTCTCATAGACAACTTTTCTTGATGTTTGCAATGGTGAAGAAATCGAAACTAATTTTTAGCAAGTCTTCATCAGAGATGCATTTACCCCCCCCCCCCCGCCCCGGACGTTGAACCAGGGGGTGAATCTGACTGTTCCGCTGAATACTACACGTACTGTAGTATAATTCTGAATTAGAAATAGATAAGAAGAATTAATGTCGAGGGCTTTCCTTACTTGAATCACAAGTCTTCAAAAGTACAACTGTTCAGCTCTAAGTAATACTTAATGTTTCAGTCATGGTAGTGCTGTTTTGTGCCCACCTCCTTTAATGCTTTTAAAAACAATGTATAAATTTAATACGGCCGTGATTAGTTTTCTCGATCAATGTGCATGTCAATCGTCATATTATAAGTCGTCGATTTTGAGAGGTAATTTCGACTGAAGGGTGGCGTGTGGCAGACGTGGAGGAAGTCACGGACGGGAGGAAATACCATCGGTCAGTAGAAAACTACTGATCTGTCCCCAACGCGGCGCTGCCTGCACAACTACTGATTTCACAGCTACTGGAGTGCTGTTAAGTTCGCATTTGCATTTTCTCTTAGTCCTGCCTCGTTTGGTGTTAAGTTCGCATTTGCATATTCTCTTAGTCCTGCCTCGTTTGGTCTATCAGTCTCTGACTCCGGCAAAAAGACCTCCTCCTCTACTGACACCGTCACGCAGCCCACCACCTATGGACGATGCACGCTCGGCGTCCAGCTCTCGGTCGACTTCGTTCGGTATGCTAACTTCTCTGCTTAGACGAAGCTGCCAAAAGAAGCCGTCCAGACGGCGCTGGATCGTTCGGGCGTGACGCTGTCGGGGGTTAAGCGGAGGCATCGACCAAAATGGCGAATGCCACGGAAGTGCACTCCACAAAAACAGCCATATAAATAAAGGCGTTTAGAGCAGCTAAAAAATGGTACACCGAAATAACATATTGACGTTGAAGTAGCTGGGTACACAGCGTATCCAACTGGTTACTCTCAGGGTACGTTAGTAGAGTTCTATCTACTCACAGAGATTGACTCCCCAGTCCGTTTGCTGCTGATATTTATTGAGAGTGAGGATCAGTAAGATAATCTATTGGAAAGAAATACCTTAATTATTAATCAGCAGTCAACGCTGATATTTATTGAGAATGAGGATCAGTAAGATAATCTATTGGAAAGAAAAACCTTAATTATTAATCAGCAGTCAGCGATTGCAATTGTTTGTGTCGTTAGTTTCCTTATTTGTGTTGGAAACTCAGTGTCTGCAATATTGGTTCGCGTCGCGTATACTCCCCCATACTTTTGGCTGGAGAGGTCTGAGGTATCACCTTTTGCGTCCTCCCTCAAAATACCCATGCTTATAGCTGTAGCGATGTCAGAAAGATCTACCACGAAGGGAGAACTCCCATAATTCGGAGGCGGCTTTCGAGGCATGGTACGCTTAGGGCAAAAGCGGTTTTGCTGAAGGCAGCAGAAATGTAGCTTTGATTAGAGTTAGGTACGGATCGAACTTTATCATTTTCTACTGATTGCCGTCTTTTCTGCGCCGCGTTGGGGACAGATCAGTAGTTTTCTACTGACCGATGGTATTTCCTCCACGGACGGCTTTGAGCTGTTAACCCCTTAGTTCCTTTATGTTGGATCTTCCAACATAAGGGGTGTATACCCTAATTCACTTCTGTTGCACCTTTCATTTTATGTTGGAGGTCCAACATAAGCAAATCTTATACCTGAATTTTGTATGGGGCAACGGTCCATATCCCCCCTTTCCCCGCTATAGTGAAATGAAGTCATTGATATGAGTGTAAAACGGTCACATGCACAGGCATAGGTGTAGTTTGGTTGAATGAGTTAGAAAAGGGAGGTACACACCCACTATCGAGCGAGTGGCCACCAGCCACCAACCTCCTCACTCTTCAAAACGACGGCCGATAGCAACATGGTTGCGCCGACACCCAAGACACCGCGTCACCACCTCACCGAGCAAGAAAGGCGCCTCTGTCGCGAGGCTCTGCTAAGTGAGCGTCACGAGCGCCGCATTCGACGGACAGAGCAGAAGAGCGGCAGCGATGGAGCATGGCAGACGAAGGCGAAAAAGGCGACAAAGAAGAAGGCTGCCAAGCGCACAGCGGCAGATATGGAGGTGGCGCAGTATAAAGGTCTGTATATTCCTTCAGCAAGTGCTCAGGTTGCAGACACGGCGGGCGAAAAAGAGGACTCGCGAAACCAGACGATTGCTGAAGCGAAGGAGACGATAGAGACAACCGCGATAGCGAATGCGATGGAGGTGGATGCAGACCACGAGACGGAGGTGACAGAAGTCGTCGCGGACATGGTTTTGAGCGTTGAGACTGCGCTGCCTGCCCAACAGTCTGGTATCGCGTTAGCTACTACTGATTCCAGTGCTGAAAACCGAAAGCGTAGTACTCAAGTGCCGACAAGAGAGCATCGCCGTGCTCTCCTACAAGAAGACAGCGATGGCTACGATGACACGGTGCGTTTTGTTCGTTTATCCAACCTAGAAGGATTGTGGCTGACAACATGTCTAACATAATATCCAACGTACGTGATGTATGGTGAACAGAGAATGCAAGGTGACGAAGACGAGAGCGTTTACGAAGCAGACGTTGTGCACAGTGTACCTGCGTGTGTTATTGACACAGACCCTAACTTTATGGACGAAGGAGCTGACGAATGCACCGGGCTCAACTCCGACGAGGACCCAGAGCTTCGTGAGGAACCTGAAGACGAAGAGGATGCTGATGACGATAGTTGGGACGGTGACTGGGACATTGGAGAGCTGACAGATGAAGATTCGGACCACGACATCGAGGAGCTTCCAAACACGGCGTGGTTATCCGCAGCGAAGAACGCACACCGATGGCTGGGAGTATGGTACGTTATGTTGGCCGAATCCAACATAATCCTTTCATTTTGTTTCTGAGTTAACATAAAGGCTAACATAGTTTTTGTCCTTGTGTGTTGTATCTAGACGCGACTAAATTTGGACCTGACCCAACGTATGCTGGGTTGTATGATGGGCCATACGGACCAAGTGACAGCGTGCTACGCCTTGGGGACGATCCGCTGGCATTGCCTTTCTTTTTCCTGCCGCCGAAGATTTGGTCCCAAATTGCTGTCGAAAGCAACCGTTATCATACTCAGTCAATCCCTACGAGGGCCCGCTCAATTCGCAGACAGCAACAGCGTAGTGGTGGCGAAGCAGAAGATCTTGCTGAGATCAAACGGCGGTTGTCAGCAGTTGAAGAAATACAAACTTACGAGGTCCTTCAAGTTATGGCATTGCTGATTGCACGTATGTTGGTCCCCATCCGGAAAGGCATTGCAGCGCATTGGTCAATAAAGAAAGTTGGAGTTCTACCGTCAAACCGCTTCAGTCTCGTGATGGGAAAGAATCGTTTTTTTTCATATCATGATATATCTACACTTTTCGAGCAACAAGTCGCCACAAGCCCGTACGGACCGAGCGTGGAAGATTCGACCAGTGCTCGATGTGCTACAGCGAACATTCGCTCGTGGATACAGAGCTCCCCCAGTCATCAGCTTCGATGAAGCAACACTGCCTTCGCGCTCGCGATACAATCCCATGAGGATCTTCAACAAGGACAAGCCCCACAAGTGGGGGACGAAGGTGTTTGTTGCTGCGTGTGCCAAGACCGCGTACTGCATGAGGTAACTTGAGGCAAGCTTCGGCTTGCCTTTTTTTGGTCCAAGTACTTATGTTGACTTGTCCAACATAAGAATCCTGCGCCATCTGTTGATACAACATAATATTAACATAATCGTCTCTCTTGATGTGTTTGCCTGCTAGAATTGAGATTTATTGCGGGGCGAAGCCACATCTACGTACTCCTGTTCCAAAGGATAACAACACTGGAAAAGCGGCTGTACTTCGAAACATGAAAGCTCTCTTATCTCCGTCACCGACGTCTCCATGGAGGTTAGTCGTCACCGACCGTTTCTACACGTCGGTCAAGCTGGCGCTGGAGCTGCTTCATTATCGGATGTATCTAACGGCGACGATACAGACGGATAGATCAGGTATCGCTGCTGGAGTGATCACTACGAAAAAGAAAAAAAGGTGAACAGGCGCGAGGTACTGGTGCCTCCGCAAGGTACCATCAAGCTGGCTCAAAACAAGATGTTTCCGCAACTAACTGCTGCCATGTGGATGGACCGTAACCCGGTGCACCTGCTCTCAAGTGGGGGCAGCCGCCAAACCGGCACCGTGAGTACGTACTACATGCATTGGGTTCCCATTTGGGTGTTAGCACTAATTGTATTTGTATTCTAGTGAGACGCATCCACGAAAAAATGACGCCGGCGCCGGCTCCAGACCTTGTTCGCGACTACCACCGCTGGATGGGTGGAGTCGACGTCCATGATCAACTCCGGTTGCAACGTTACAGCGTGCAACTTTGCTACAAAACACGCAAGTACTACAAGACTCTGTTTCTGGGGCTTCTGGATATGGCGCTCGTGAACGCGTTTATCGTTCATCGACACTATCGAAAGGTAAACAACAGGCGCCCGCCAAATCACTTCTCGTTTTTTGAGGAATTGCTGGAGCTGCTACTGGCAGTAGATTCAATCGAAGCGTTTGACGAGATTGAGGTAAGTCAAATGTTGACCAGTCAACATAACCTCATCTGCTTCAGCAGCCTTCCAACATAACAACTAACTTATGGTGGGCTTGACTGTATTGGAACAGCAAGCGACATCTGCGCAAGATAGAACTGCCCCTTCGCCGGCAAGAGCAGATTCAACACAGCTACAAGGAAGCGCATCGTCAGCTATCGACGGACATTGTTTAGAAGAAAACCCAGATACTGTCGATTGCGAGCAGGGTGTGAAGCGACGCCACCGATCATGCAAAGTCTGTGCCATCTACAAGGTCAAGCCTCGCAAGTTTACGAAATACTTCTGCCCGGAGTGCTCGAACGGGAACAAACGGTGCGTAGCTCGCTTGGTACCCTTACCGTAAGCTTTGGCTAACTCGTTTTGATTTAGTAAATACCTATGCAACGTTCCGCGTGAAGGCAGGGTCAGTACGTGCTTCAGCATTTGGCATGCTGATTGGAACAACGGCAGCGACATTCCGCGCGACCTACTGCAAGAGCACAGGACACGTGAACAACCGCCAGCACCGCGGCAAGGCAAGAAGCGGAAACGCAGCAGGTAGGCGAGAGCGGAGCAAGTGCTGGTGTTGGTGCTGGGGAGTCGAGCGAAGAAGAAGATGAAGTGGTGGAGGAGGAGGCGTAGTGGTTGCGCCGTCTACGTGAGGTCGTACATGTCTATGCAAGGATCAATCAATTCATACGGCACTTGATCTTTTTTGTTATTGGCTATAATAAATGAACTCACCGCTGCTGGACGTATGCAACAACACAAGATAGGCTAATCAATAAACAGTGCATATCTTATGTTTATTTATACATCATAGTTGCATATGATCGTCTCAATGTACTACATAAACCCTCCTTTATGTTGGAGAATCCGTACTATACACACTGGCATGTCGTTGTTACCACCCCGAACCCGCGCCAAGATATCCGGACTTAACTGAAACCCCATACAAATTCCTTTATATCTGTATATGGGACGAGGTCAAAATATACCCTCATATTTGAGGCCGGGAACTAAGGGGTTAAGACCTACAGGAGCACCACTTCTCGAATTGTCGTATTCGGTTTCAAGCAGAGGTCGCAAACGTAATCTTCCGGCTAACCATACCCGTCCGAAAGCCCTTGTCATCGAGTTTCGGCTGGCCGAAATTAGCGATCGACTAGCCAAAAATTACGAATAAATTATGTGTAGAATGAAGATGGTGAAATACCATTTTCTTATTTAATATTTTACACTCAAAATAAGCTGACACGCACCTTTCGCTCGGTTAAGACACGAGCCGTCGCCAAAATTCTTAATAAAGAAAAACATGCAAAAAAATTCTTCGAATACGTGAGCTCGGCCAACCATAACCAACCGATCCTGGAAGTCGGTTACTCGTACCCGTCCGTTTTTCAAAGGGGCAAGCTTTCGGTTAACCATACCCGTCCGTGGTTACGGTTAGACAAACCATTTGCGACGTCTGGTTCCAAGTCACGAAGGAACTTGTTTCGTTAAAAAGAGCCCTTCCCACGTGCTGGGGGTGATATCAACCAAAGAGAAATCATCCGAAGAACCAGACATCATCTCCTTACGCAAAAAAGCGGCCACATTGTTTCAACACATTTTCTTTAGCGAAAACTGAAGATGCGATTGATGGAGGCATACGAACGTGCGTGCGGAGAAACCGCGAAAGACGTTGTCATGGTGATGTGCATGGTGATGAATGTTGGTCTACCGGACTCTGTTGTGATTGGATCGCATCTTTTCTGACGAGAGCACGATCTTCTTTAAGATCGATTCATGCAAATCGCGGGTATTGACGAGAAATGGATTGCTTTTATTTAAATCCGTCGATGATCTCCAGGGATGCCAAATATTGCATGTTTATCTATTGCTAATCAAAGCAAAAAATAAAAATTGGGTTAGAGAACAGACTAGACCAACATAGATTATTGAACTTCCTCAACTCAGAAAATAGATTATTGGTGCAGCAATATTGATACACAAGTACTAAAGAATGTATGGCTGATTAAACAGCCCACTGGGGAGCGAAAATAAATACATGTACCGGTAATTGGTTTTCCTCCTCCAATAGATAATTGGTGCTTTCTTATTGCAATAATTACGGCACCAATTTATTTTCGGCATCTCGACATTGCGTTTCTTGTCGACAAGCACGATCGGTTCACACTGAAGATTATTAATCCAGACATCAGGGCGGATCTGCTCGTTGACCCAACAACAATGGGGTGATCTACGAGGTGTATCCGTACCAACAAATTGGAGGATACAAAATATGCTCCATTTGCCCCGTAGTTCGATTTGCTCCCAATGTTTGGCGAGTTGGATGGCAAGACACTTCAGCTTCCAAGCGGGTCAGCGCTTCGACCTATCAGGCGTTGTTTGTACCACCAAGCGCAGTTGGCCAGAACAAGGCCGATTATCCAGGGATGGGTGTCGAAAAATTTAATTTCGATGACTTCTCGACGGAAGCGCTTGCACTCGAAGAGAAGATGAAAATGCTATTTAGAAGCATTTGAGCGTTTTCGAACTCCGCAATATAATGATATTATCATCAATGGCTCACGGAGGTATTTTTTTTCTGGACAGATTGTCCAAAAATAAATAACCAATTTAGAGATGCTTAGAGCTACTTCTTATTAAAGTATTTTACTTTTTACTACTAGTACACTGTCTACGGTAATTAGTCTGACCGAGACTATTTTGTGTGTATCGTTTCTCAGGTCATACACATTTAATAGTCTGACACAGATAAAACATTGGAAAGAACGAATATTTAGTCTTAGTTGGAGCAGTCGTCTGAGCGACGACCCTCCACGCTGAGGTTTGACGGTTCGAGTCTCACGTTTTGTGTATTTTTTCGTGACCGGTCGAAAATCATAAAAAGTCTTAGCACTTAAATAGTCTGTGTTGGTTCGAGTCTCACGTTTTGTGTATTTTTTCGTGACCGGTCGAAATTCATAAAAAGTCTTAGCACTTAAATAGTCTATGTTAACAAATGACCACCTTGCTGTATTTCTACGCGTTTTTCGTGTCAACAGGCTCGCCTTCAAAATGGACCTCGTGCTTCTTGATGATGTCTTGGAGATGCGGGTAAAGCTAAGAAACCGACCACGTCCCGTCGATGCCGAGGGACAGACCGCATCGCATCATTGCCTTTCGCGTGTATGACATTCCGTTCTTATCCCTTTGAAGATTGACCGCCTTGACTGCATCTGAAGCGAGTTGCAAGAAAAACATCTTACCTGGGTTTTGAAGCTTGCCTGACCACGAGCCATCCTTGCGAACCTTGTTTTGCCACCCGTTCTCCTTGATCAACTCCATCTTCTTCTCGTTCCACTTGACTTTCCACGCGTCCTTGATCTTGGAAATGACGAACGCGTCAGCTGGCTGGCACAGATCCGTCGCGTTTGGCGGAAAGAACTTGAGGTTGGAGTTGATAGCGTCGAGCTCTGAACGATATTCTTCCGCTTCCAAATGGCCGGAGCAGTTGTCGAGGAAGAACGTCTTCTTGCGCCCATGAACGTCTGCTCTCTTCGCCCTCCTTTCTTTTAGGTACTCACGAAACAGCTTTTGAGTCATCCACCCCTTCTTGCTTGAGCGATAGCAGAGGCCAGGGATCTTGTCTGGAACTCCGTGAGTAGAATAGTTCCCCGCCAAATTCATGAAGATCATCATTGGTGGGTGAATCCGAGCGCTTGGGCCTCCTGAGAGTCGCACGAATATCGTCATTCCTTCACCTCCGGAGACCACGTCAGCATACTTCACAGTCTCGTCGCCACAAAACCCAAGCGTCTTGCCGTTGTCGAAGTCGACAACGAAATGAGTTTCGTCGATGTTCTCGATCGCGTTTTCATCGAGCGATCCGTCGGCAAACCCACGCTGGAGCTCGCTTAGGTGAAACGCCACTTTCGTCTCGATGTGCTGAAGCTTGGCCTGGCTGAGCTGCTTTTTCCCTGTCTGGGCCCTGATAACAATCTGGTGTGCCTCCATAAAGCCCTGAACCCAGCGAGAAGTGATTTTGTCGATGATCAGCCTACCTTTTGGGTCAACACTTTTGAAAGTGTAGGGCGCCGAGCTGTCTCGAAGAATCTGCTTCGCGAGTTGCTGCAAAAGCGCCGGCTCGAACTTCACGCCAAGCTTTCGGAGTCTGTCGAGCTCGTCCAAAAGCAAGGGATACAGCCACGTTACCCACGCGCTTCTTGGTCGCCCACGCCCCGCAATGACCTTGGAACTCACGCGACGTCTTCCACCTCGCCGACGCGTCGAAACAACAACCGCACCACGATCTGCCTCCAGTATACGCCCACGCTTCATCCACCAGTCCACCGCCTTCGCTAAGTTGGCTGCCCGAGTCATCGAGTTGAATACACCAGGGAATTTGTCGACAGCTTTTGCAAACATGCCTTTGTCGCCTTTGACTGCCTCGTGCTCTGTCATCCAGCGGACGACCTTCCGGCGATGAACGATGCTGCTGACAGCCTGTGTGCTGCGCGATTGTCTGGATGAACGGGGTGAGCGTGATCGCGTGTACTCGAGCTCGCCTTCGAAGTCGTCGGCCTGAGATGTGCCGTCGCTGGCTCGATCGGTATTGTCGCAGTCTGGACACATCACCGACTGCCCAAAGCCTTCGGCTCCAGTGGGTCGTCCACAAAATGGATGCATGTGGCGCAAACACTTGGGACAGCGATGAACAGGACCAACGGGTTCTCCACAACCTCCACATTGCGCAGAAGCTGTAGCAACTTCCATGCCGACTTGCCGATAAAACAGAGAATGAGGATTTAAAACGTAACTGGAGGGAGCGCTACGGCACTTTACCATCCAGTCCTTCACCCCTACCACCGAAGCGGAGGTAGCATCAGACACCTGTTGCTATAGCTTCTAATGATTCTGGGTTGTATATGTACTTGCACTTGGTCGGCACTTCGAGAACCACAAACATCAAAACCAATTGATGTGAGAAAAAAAGTAATGGGTGACTCGAACCCAGCCGTACTGAGTACCAATGTGCACTCTTACCCACACGGCTCAGGTTAGACTATTTATGAACCTGTGTTGGTCAGACTATTTATGAATCTCGATATTTTGGCTAAGCAATAAATAGTCTGACCTAGACTACTTTTGAACTGAGACTATTTTCGCACCTAGACTAATTACCGTAGACAGTGTAGTAATTGACCGATGCCAAAAATCGATGTTTGATTTTTACAAAGCTCAAGATTGCAGTGTAATTATCTTCTATTTTGACCAATCATCGAAGCTTGATGGCAGTTGAAGAAGCCAGGATCGCATTATCTGATCTGAAGATGAAGTTCCCCCTCGTGCTCGTCGCCGCGCTCGCCTCCGTGGCCATCGCCGCCCGTCCAAAGGGCCAAATCCACCCTGACTTGTCTTTGCTATTCTTCAACGATGAGGAAGGCTCATGCCACGGCTTCACCACCAAAGAAACGTGCATGAAGAACCATTGCGCGTGGTGCGTTTGCGCTGCCGTTCCGTCGTCCTGCTACTCGCCCGAGGAGGCGGATCAGCTGCCCCCCGCTATCTTCCAATGCGACAAAGGGCAGCATCTTCAGTCCTGGGACCTAACGACGGTTCCGTCGACGTCTTTGGAGCTTAACAGCCTCTTCGAAGCCTGGAAGGGTCTTCACGGCAAGAGCTACGACTCCCCCATCCAGAACGAGCTCCGTCGCGGTATCTTCGAAGTGAATGCGCGCTCTGTGGCCGCTCACAATAGTAAGAACCATAAGAGCTTCGTTATGGAGCTCAACGAGTTCGCAGACACGACGTGGGACGAGTTCCAGAGCTGGTACTTGGGTGCGCCACAGGAATGTTCGGCCACTGAGACCACCGACGTGGTGTACGGTGAAGTGCCTGTCCAGAAGGACTGGAGAGCTGACGGAGCAGTGTCACCCGTCAAGAACCAGGGCAAGTGCGGCTCGTGCTGGACATTCTCCACCACGGGATGTCTAGAGAGCCACGTCAAGCTCAAACACGGCGAGTTTACCATCCTATCCGAGCAGAACTTACTGGACTGTGCGCAGAACTTTGACAACCATGGATGCAACGGTGGACTGCCGTCGCACGCCTTCGAGTACATTAAGTACAACGGCGGCTTGGACACCGAAGAAGTGAGTCATACTTTTATTTGTAGTAGTACTATTTTGCCTTCTAATATTTATATTTACAGACATACCCATATGAAGCCAAGGAAGGGAAATGCAAGTTCAACACCTACCACGTTGGTGTTCAGGTGGACCAAGTGGTGAACATCACGACTCGTAACGAGAACGAGCTGAGGGCCGCTGTGGGGTCCACTGGGCCAGTGAGTATTGCGTTCCAAGTGGTGTCGGACTTCCGCTTCTACGAGTCCGGAGTATACGAGTCGAAGGAATGTCGCTCCGACGAGAAGGACGTGAACCACGCTGTGTTGGCGGTGGGATATGGCGTGGAAGACGGTAAGGATCACTGGATCGTCAAGAACAGCTGGGGCTCTCAGTGGGGCATGGACGGCTTCTTCCAGATCGCTCGTGGCAGCAACATGTGCGGCGTCGCAGTCTGCGCCTCGTACCCCGTTGTGGTGTAAGAGAACATAAGTTGAAGATTTGCGTACCGGTATCGATACCGTATGAATACCGGTACGAAACCGATAATACAATGAAAAAACCACCGGAATGCTGCCTTGTCGTCGTCGGAGTTCAACTCCGACGGCGTCTTAAGTGAATACACACGGCCTTAAAGAATGAAATTGCTGCTGATCTATCTATCCGATACATGTGATAGTGACCTGGATTTCAGGTTCCTACGGACCAACCACGCAAGAAAAAAAAATTCGCCTTGTGTCTGAGACTTAACGTGAAAATCACTTCGAGATAATGTGCAGCTACTACGGTAGCATTGACGAGACTACGCCTCTAAAGGGCTTGCAACCCGCCAAGACCGCGCGTCGCGTTCCATTGACAAAAGACGCCAAGCGGGCACAGCGTAAGCTACAGCTCGCGTGCATTTGTTCGCTGTTCTTCATGTGTGCAGAAGTCGCTGGTGGCTTTTTGGCCGGCAGTCTGGCTATCATGACGGACGCCGCACACTTGCTGTCGGACGTCACAAGCTTCTGTATCTCGCTGTTTGCTATCTGGGTGAGCACACTGCCGGCCTCGAACCGCCTTAGCTTCGGCTTTCAGCGGGCTGAGGTGATTGGCGCCGTCACGAGTGTGCTGGTCATCTGGGTGCTCACGGGAGTGTTAGTCTACACCGCGGTGGAGCGATTTATGGAGTGTTTGGAGCCCAATCCGACGGAGCACGTAAACGGTAAACTCATGTTCATTGTGGCCTGTATTGGGCTATTGGTGAACCTAATTCTGATGCAGATCTTGGGCCACGGACACAGTCACAGAGGAGGTAGCCACGGTCATTCGCACGGAAACAGCCATGGCCATGCTCATAGAGACAGCACGAGTTCCAGTAGCGAAAAGGAGCTACAAGGCCACTCTCATGGAAACCTTGAGAATGGCGAAGCTCCAAAGATCAAGAAGAAACTAGAGAACTTAAATATTGAGGCTGCCTATATCCACGCTCTTGGTGACTTTATCCAGAGTGTTGGTGTGTGTATCGCCGGTGGCCTCATCTGGTACAAACCCGAGTGGCAGATTGCTGACCCTATTGCCACATTCATTTTCTCAGTGTTGGTTCTAGGTACAACGATCGGCATTGTTCGGGACAGTATCCACGTGCTAATGGAAGGTACACCGGACGGCATCAACGCTGACGAGATCAAACGCGGTCTGCGTCACTGCTCGTCCGTGGAGACCGTGCATGATCTACACATCTGGTCGCTCAGCGTCGGGCTACCGTCGTTGTGTGTGCACCTGGTGTCGGACGACGCAGAGACGGCTCTGCACGCAGCTCAGCGCTATCTCATGTCTAAGGGCATCACACACACGACGATTCAGGTCGAGAAGACGGCGACGCGGTACCCACGCGACTGTAACTCGGACTTAAAATGTGGTCAGGACTCTACGTACTACATAGAATAACGGGAAAATGCTCACGCAAAGTATATGGCAGCGAGTAACGCGAAAAAAAATTGCCTTCATACGGATGTTTCATGATGTTACGACCCCAAAAAAAAACAAATTACCGTATCGGTCGGATCAATAACCATTGTGCCTGAACATCTAGGACGCTTGTTGTGCTTTGAAGAAGGCTGTGTACGCCGCCACAATCTTCTCATCGCTGTTACCCCCAAGATGAGGGTGCTGTCGACTGGCTAGTTTGGATTTGACAAGACTCGGCTGTATTCCGGCCTTCTCCCACTTGGTGAACAGCGCTTCCCTCAAGTCCTTAGCTATGCTTTCCGACTTTGACGAGAACTTGGACGCTTCAATGTACCTTGCAATCTTGAACTCGTCATAACGCTTCAGCAGAATCTTGAGCATGATGGAGCCTGCGTTTTCTGGATCCAGTACGCTCACTTTGTTTGCCCAGCTTTTAAAAGCAGTGGTGCCAAACACACTATTTTCGGTCTTCAATCCGAGACGCTCAAACGCAGAATATGCCTTTTTGTAAGCAGGACTCGCGTTGAACAGATTTATCTTTTCGAGGAGCGACGGTAGCTTCCTTTCTTCACCGCCGGCATCTCCACCCTTTGTGATTTCCCCCGTATTCAAAAGTCGCCCGGTGTCGGATGAAATCGAGAGCGCCGCTTTTGTCGATGCAAGGAGAGCAGCAGCAACGAGCAATACAATGCGGTATGCAAGCATGGTGTGATATGTTTGGTGCAGCACAAATGTCTTTGTGAGGTTTCAAAGGAGCAAAGCCTTCTCGTCTGAACAACCAGAAATGACCTTGTTCTAGTAAAAAAAATAGTCTAACCGGTGTTCAACTAAGAGACTGTCTACTGAGATAAGGTATTAAAGATCTGCAAAAAAGACTAGTCTATTCGAATACCTACGAATCAAAATCTTGATTCGTACTTTAGCTGATTAGTACTGCCCAGGTGTTGTATGCACAGAAACAGTCTTAGAGTATGGGCTGCGAGGAAGGCGTATGAACCGTGTTCCATTTAGTTCTGAATTGCCTAGTCATAATAGAGGTAGTTCTCTAACAAATACTACCGCAAGAAAATCTATTGCAGTTTGAGCTGGTCGGCACTCAGCAATCACAGCGCTGAACAGGAGACATACGTTGGCGGCTCAGTAACGTCTGTAGCTTATTTTATCAGCATTGATATTACACTAGCCGAGTGCCGCCGCTACGCGGCGGGTAAGAATGAATCTCGTTCCTTGTATTTTGCCTCTGTTCCGCTCGCCACGGGCTCGCTTCACTACTCGAACGGTAGGTTGGCAGATTGTGGCTCAGGCGGGCCCAAAGGCCCGCAGGGTTGCAGAAGGTGCTGATTAGGGCCGCCTCGCTGCGCTCGGCAGCTGTTAGGGTAATCGGGGCCACCTTCGCTGCGCTCGGCAGCCAATAGAAATATTTAAATTTTTTATTCAATGATTTGTCCGGAAAAGCGTGACATGCGCGACAATTTAGTGTGACGGACAGACAGGTTGCTGCAGTAGATGTTTAAGACTAGCCGAGTGCCGCCGCTACGCGACGGGTAAGAATGAATGTCGCTCCTTGTATTTTGCCCCCGTTCCGCTCGCCACGGGGTCGCTTCACTACTCGCACGGTAGGTTGGCAGAGCGGGCCCAAAGGCCCGCAGGGTTGCAGAAGGTGCCGATTTGCGCTGCCTCGCTGCGCTCGGCAGCTTCTAGGCCAATCGGGGCCACCTTCGCTGCGCTCGGCAGCCAGTAGAAATATTTAAATTATTTTATCCAATGAAATGTCCGGAAAAGCGTGACAGGCACGACAATTTAGTGTGACGGACAGACAGGTTGCTGCAGTAGATGTTTAAGACTAGCGCTCTGGGCGCCCGCTCCGCGGACGCTAGGGAATGGTTTGTTGGTCTAAAGAGGGCCGACCACCTCCGCTGCGCTGCGGTGACCTTATAGTTTCTACTGAGAGCGAAGCTTCACATAATACATGTATACTGTGATCTTCTTATGTTACGTTCCAAAACCACAATGCACATATTATCCTTAGTGTTCACACGTTGTGGGAGACGTGACCCGGGTTTAACGTGATCTGCAAGATGAACACCTTTTTACCCGGGAAAGTTTGGCCTATAATCCCATTTGAGCGTATAGCTCCTGAAACGACACGAAGAGGTGCGCGTGGTAGCAAATGTAATATATGCTGTGCAGAAGACGGGTCAATACTAATGATGATCCTAAATTGGCATATATAGGTGAGGAATCTCAGTGTAACTAGGGTAAATACGCCTACTCAAACATATTACCATCTGCACGTCATCGCCGTGAGGCAGTCGACACCATATCTTTGAATGCGACGGTCTATTGAAGCAAGGTTTGGTCAGCTCCTCGCGCGAAGTATCTTTTAGGTCAGGTAGTATTTGCTGATGCTCGCCACAAACACCAATACTATGCCTTGAAATTGTTCCGCTGAGCTGTTTATGATATTACTGAAGGGTCTTTCCACTATTTTTGGCATGTGTTTATCTGACTTGCATGGGCGACGTACTTACTGACTTATTTGCATAGGCACTGACTGACAGAGCTGTATAGATCCTTTCCGAGTGGTATTTATCGTTTCCGATAAGTACGACGAACATGCGAAGCCACATGACTGTAGGCAAATTATCAGATCGTAGATATCTTATGCTTGAATCGAAATGTAGCTCATGTCCATTAGGTGAAGTACTTTCGCTGTATATCTAACTGCCCGGCGTGCTATTTGATGTGTCCGCGCATATCCCGCCATGCCGCCAATGGGTGTGGCCGTGATAGCCAACACCTATGCATTGGGTCACTGCTGCGATCTCGGTACTTTTACATCTTCGTGCTAGCTTACTGTACCTACGATTATGATGTATCCGTCTATATGATCAAGCGCGTCACTAATTGGGCACAGGTCATACCCGTGGTGACATAGGCAACCTTATACAGGCCAACTGACCAGGCGTCTGCTAGCAGCAGTCAAAGCAATATATACGCGTGCGGCGGGTACATCTTGTAGCCATCAGCAACTCAACCGAGCTCATATATCGACAACTATGGGCAGGGCACTAAAGTACAGTACTGCGTACAGACACATCGACTTGCCACACCCACCTGTATGGCTTGCACTACCGCACACGTGCTTGTGTCTATGCAGACAGCAACGTATTTGTCTAACTCAATACTGAAGCTTACACTCGTGGGCGCATATTAGTGGAAAATAAGCTGTGAGCGTTGGTGGCACAGATAGCATGGGTTCGCGTGTGCCAAGTGAGCGAGTATACTTTTCATCTACGGTAACGCGTTTGCAGATAGGGATGACCAGATGCAAGGGTACACAGTAGATAACATGCGCTAATTATTATTTGAAACGCGCTACGCTCTGTAGGTGTGTCAACACGCTTGGCAGCGGCATAGTCAGTTTACCGTATGTGCGGCTCCAAGCCTCGCACTGTCAGCCAATATACTAAATAGAAATATAGGTAGGAAAAAGGGGACCTAAAAGGGCATATTTTTTCAATTACTTTTTCTTCTGCTGTTTCTATTGCTCGATGTACCTGGAGTTTCTGGCGGTCAGCTTGCGAGGGCGGCTGCGCCTTCTTTCTTCTTGAGGTACCGGTCAGGACCCATCGCCTTCTTGACGTTCGCCAGGCTTTCCTGGCGGCGCACTTCGGCCGAATCAGGTGGTGGGGGCTTTTCCTCCCAGAACTCAACCGCTTTTGGGCCGTTCTCGCAGACAATACAGCGCCGCACGATGCCCCTCCCGCTGATTGTACGGAATGCGTAGCCGTACTGCAGCTTCCCGCAGCAGACGCAGCGCGCCCGGGAATCCGTCATAGACCGCTGCGGGTTCAGCAGAAGCGGGTCAATCTTCGCCTCGCATTGCTTGCACGTAGGGCCAACAACTGTGAGTAAGTTAGCAAATTATACAAAAATTATATTGTTTCAACCAATACTTGCGTCCAAATATTAGCCAATAGCACGGTAATATAAGGCTGGTATTTATTATTAGGAAAAATATTAAAAAAAATTATAATATTACTATTTATTTGCTATATTAAGAATAATATCAAATTTTTCAAACAAATACATACATTACATGCAATATATACTGATAAAAACAAATCGTGCGCGCATGCATTCGTCGGGTGGGGTGCACGGGAGCAGATAGCGCAATGACCGTGCAGCCGCGCGCCTTCATTGCACGGTGACAGTGGTGAGTGCCAGGTGATGTAAAAAAGATATATATTCGCAAAGTCCCTACAGGAAGCGCTGGTCGTGAAGCCTACTTTAATATTAAAAAATACTATCGTCTCTACTTTAGAAAGAGTGTGGAAAATAGCATCGCCGAGCTCTTACAAATGCGGCCTGTGAAGCTTATATCAATAACGTCAATACTATTAATATCGTCTTTACTTTGAAAAGTGTGAGGAAAATTACATCCCAGAGCTCTTACAAAATACTGGTCTGTGAAGTCTACATTAATAACAATAGATATCTCTATTTGAGAAGTGTGCAGAGCTTTTAGAAAATAAAGTGGTTACTGTGCCCGATTTGCAGTACATACGACAGGTTTTGCGTAGCTAAATTTCAATAATCAATCACCTGCGCAGCTCGCCTGGCTGTTTGCAACCAATCGATGCGGTTCGTGCTCGGCAGAAATGTTTTCCTTACGTCCAATCGCGAGGGCGACAGACGGTCTGATCGTGCGACAGATCCAGTCAGCGTCACAGGTCGGCAGGTATTGCCCAATCAGGGCGCGATTTAATTGTGTCCGCTTTTGGATATAATTGTAATTTTAGCATAGTTAGGTCGAGTCAGAAAGGTAGGCGCGGTCGATAGGATGGGACGAAACTGTATTAGCCAGGCTGGCTGTAGCCATGCGAAAAGGCAGGCAAAAGCAGCAAGAAAGGAACCGGACGGGCTTATTGACAGACGGACAGACACGCTACAAGGTTAGAAGCGGAGAGCTGTATCTACCGGATATATTGAACTAACAAAATGTATCGTGCTTTGCAGCGATTTTGGCAAGATTTGATGGATTTAGAAATAGCAGGTGGTGATATTACGATAATGCGAGTTCATAAAACCGTGATCTTACAGTAGAGCAGCCAGAATTGCACTTTTGAAACTGCAATTCTGCCACAGATGCTACATTTCGTTTAACTGCGCCCGTTGATGTACAATCAAATTAGGATGGATTCACGAGAGCAAACATGCACTGCTTACTGTTGTAGCCTCGTCGCCACATCAATTACAATATATGTTAGGAAGTGACTATTTTATCGCACACATTTACTATGATGGGCTGCCAGGTTTAGCGCGTAAAAATGTCGACACAGCATCATCTGATTACAAAAACATTATTATCCGGATACCGATTACATTGAACCGTTGGATTTGCTTTTAAACGTTTTTCGGAATAGAATGCAATAATAGGTGCATAAAAGAAGTAATAATTTCTGCTGGGCATCGGAAATAGCCTATTAAAGGTTACGACTCAGACGTGCGATCGCGAACTGTCAGCGAGACCGTTTGTCGAAGCATCAAAGGCAGACGTTTAAGGATCTTAGATGCTGGGGTGGAGACGACTACGGCAATGTTTTGCAGGACGTCCAACAAACTTCCGGTCAATACGGTGCGTCGGTTAAATCCGGTACCTGAGTACCCAGAGCTGGGCGACCATGCAAAGACGAAAAACGTTGTTGCTGTCTGAAGTATAGTGCTTCAGCACGAGGCGCGGCGGTCGGAGACTCAGGCGGACGTGGCGGCTTGAATTGAGCAATTCACCAATCCAATGCCGGAACAGGACGCGACAGCCTCACTTATCAGTGATAAGTAGGATGGTCAATACATTTTATTAATAAGAAATGTCAGCCTACCCGGACACCCGCTCTAACCCCCTCAATGTTGGGCGTAGGTTGTGTCCGCAAACAACGCTAGCCGTAGTCTGTGAACCTGACCTTGATACCCTCAGAGACATCTGTCAGATGACCTAGCCTACCAAAACACCCGGAACTACTGCTCGTTAAGAACGACCCTCAGGCAATGCAGTGCCACATGTTTGCAGCGGAGGTCCACTCCGAAGCGGTGAAGCTGTTCTTTGTCTCCTTGAAAGAGCCTAATTTGGTATAGCGTAGCTTTCTACTGAGCACAGCACGACGACACGGTATCACCGACCATTTCGTCTGTGCGGTGGAACTACTGCATGATGGAACGTCGGTAAAGTTCATCACCACTGGCTATCACTTGTGGACGGTGCGCGTGGCCAGCGGGATCCGGTAAGGGTGCTCACTGGTCCCTTTTCTTGTCACCCTCGCACGGGGAGCACTGTATCAGGAACTTGGCCACCGCCCGCAGCTACCTAACATTTGCCTGCGCTCAAAAGGTGGGCAGCTGGTCGTGAATGTCGCTGGTTATTCCAAAGGAATTGCGACCTACCTCACTTTCTACCGACATGTGTCGACCATCGTGAAAATTACGGATGCTTTTGGAGCGGCCTCAGGTCTCCTGCTAAACCACGACAAAACGATGGTTTCGCCTTGCACTTATCTAGACCTCGGGGCTCAGCAAAGTCTCTAGCGCTATAGCTGGGAAACGTGTCGAGTCGCTACCTCGGCATTCATGTGGAGCGCCGCCTGGATGCGAAGCGCACGTGGGCTGTCGTCAAGAAGAATCTCGCTACACGCCTCGCGCTGGCGTGCTGCAAATCCTAACAGTAGACCATCCAAGTGCTATTGCTGCGGCCGCTAGAATTTCGAAGCTGGTATATATCGGTCAGCATGCGTGGCCGATTCAGTCCACATTCAAACGGGCCTTTAAGAAAATCACCGGTTTTGGCTGGGGTGTTCGCTACGGGAACCCCACGCCAACGGGTATGGCCGGACGGGGATCTCGCGCCCTTAGCCAGGTCAAGTGGCGGTATTGCACTACCAGACTTACCAGCCGAGCTGCTGATAATGGCCGATGCGGCGGTGGCCCGGTTGGCCCTTAACGAATCTCGTTCTGCCCACGTCGTCGGAGGCATTCCACTTGCATCGGGCCCATGGTGAGCGTGGCGCTACGTCAGCGGTGAATCTAACACTCAATGTCTGGGTAACTGCACTAATACCATTATGGAATACGGGATCAATCTGGCAGACCGGTCACTACTGTGTGACATCAACGCCTGGAGGGTGTCAACAATGCCGAGCGCCGATAAGGTAAGGCCTTCTACCATCTTACAACCAATTTGAGACGGCGCACACTTAGGTCTTTAAAATATGTGTGAAAGTGGGATGGTAACCGTCACATACAGTCGGGGACACATCCTAAATTCTGAGTCAATATCAGAGGCGGATACCTCCGAAGGCGCTGCACCTACGTGGGGGCATACTTTTAATGCCAGCGCGCAGTCGACCAGCGGAATGGGTTGAGCGGGCAACACCACTACAGAATATTCAACGAAATTACGAATACGTCAATATGGCGATGAATGCGCATCGCAGCATCCAGTTCCAGATCCCTGTAACTCTATCACTACAAAACGTTGGGACGGGATCATGAGGCACGCGGCAAACGGTGTGGTCCCTTGGTTCCAGCGGAACTCTACTAGGAATCTTTAGAGGTTCGTGGCCTACCAAACGTAGTGCTAATGGGACCTGAGAGGTACCGACTCTCGGGATTCGGGCGGATGGAGTTAGACGCACGCCGGCTGGGCAATCGGATGTCGTTGCTATGTAGTCGTACGTGACGACCATATTCCCACAACTAAAACAGTAGCCTACATTGCAGTATCAGCAACCCTTTACATGACATGTAAAGGGTTGCTGATACTGCAATTAAGCGCAATTTAGCTCGAACAATCTAAATCGCTACGCTACCAGCGATACTGATTCAGATTAACAAAGGGTGTCGAGCACTTTAAAGCGAGGTTGCAGGTGTGATCATTACACCATATTCCATCACGATATTAGCTGTTGGAGCAGAGCCCACCGAACCGCTTTGCCCAAACACCTCGCCAATCCTTAGCAGTACGTTGTAGGACTACGCTATTATCGCAGCATTAGAATTATAGTCGAAGGACAAACTTCTTTTACTGTCAATAGCTCAGATTCTGCGATACTGGGCCTACTTTAAGCCAACTACTTTGGTATGCACATTAGCGCACGTGTATGAGGAAGCAGAAGCTGCGTTTCACTTAAATTAGCTAAACTTATGTCCGAAAACGACCAGAATTGCCTCAAATTACGGTTGCGGTAATCATTCCGTGGTGAGTTGGCTTTTGTAGTATAGCACCACCGATTAGTTGTAAGCTTCGCTTGCGAGTAGGGACTAGCAGTACCATTGTGTCAGCGGCGGAGATACGATGCAGAGCAAATTGATCTGCTAGACACGCGTGTTTTTTTCGATTTAATGTCTGCATACTAATTACACTCACCACTATCGTTCATGGAGTCCATATCATCAAGGTCCTAGCTTTTTCAATTTCTAGGCGTGTAACCTGCTGCTGATTTTAGTGCACACACAGGACGTACTCGTGGTAGTTAGCAATCCAGGCAAGCAACAATAAAACAAACCACAGCTTTACAGTGGTTGAAGTCGAACCGACATTCTCAGATGAAGACCCTGCGCTCTATCCATTCAGCTACACTGTCGTATTGGGAGGTTGGAGGGGGGGGGGGGTGACTGACGTGACGCCGTGTGCACACACACGCTGCAGTGCAGCTTGAGAGACCATCGTAAGGTTTGCGTAGTAGCGTCGAGACAAGAACGAGTGAGGCCTCGACCTCATTGCCGGGTACGATGTGGTTAGTGTGTGGTTGTGTATCGCCAACTGATAAAGAGATTCTGCTCTGTCAAACGGCATAGGTTAAAAGGCAATCAAATAGTCTATTTGATTGGATAAATGTCAATAAGGGAGAATTTCATTGGAAGATGGTTTCCCAATGAAATGCGCTCAGTTGTGACTGGTTGCCGATGTCCGATTAGTATCCGGACAATCAATTTATCCGGATGATTGTCAGGTTCGGCAACATATTATTATATGTCTGCTAGAGAGCACATGACTCTAGAGTGTAATTTGCTTGTTCTCAGTTTTTTTTCAATTTTCTTAGCCCACAGGGCGATTCTGAGCCGCCTATAAGCTAGACACAACAGGCTCTCTACAGATTCAGTACAGAACGACAAATCTTGCCTATCTTCCTCCAAACATAATGATTACACAAAATTACTATACTTGTCAAATAAAGTCCGTTTAGCTTTTTACACTACATGTACCACTATTTTGGTACCTGTTCGATAGGGTCGCTCTGCTATCTTAAATATGGGGTAAATAGTGAAGGTCTCACAATAATGAACGAAACTGACAATTTCCCTTACAACATAATAGGCGGATGTGTTGTCGACAAGGGCGTAGAATAAGATTTTACATGGAGCGGTAAGACAACAGCACAACAGGAGAGGTATAAATATGGCTATTTTAAGTAGACCCTATAAAGAATCGCTAAAAATTAGAGCCTAATGGACGTTTATCCATCCTGGAATCATCGTTAAAGTATCAAAAAAAAACTGCCGTCAACAACAACAACAGCAAGGCGTCTTGCGACGCATCGTTATATCCAAATGATTTAACCATAGCTGATACACATTGGAGTGCCTAATGACTATATTCTAAATCCGCTTGAAATGAACACACTTCAATGTGCCACAGTTTGAGTATGTTTTACTTTACAGTAGCGTTTATTGAATTTGGTATGAGAAAAAAAATAATCTTCAGTTAGTTAAGAGTTTTAACAGGAGGTATCCAATTAAGGCATAAAAGGCACGATTGCAATGCGCAAAGAAAGCTTTATTTTTAGGATGATTTAGACCGCCCGATCGTGATTTACATTATTTTAAATGGCTTCTGCTGTATACCTCAAGCTAGAGCTGTCGAACCAGCTTCGTTCACCTTATTATTTTGCAGAAGAGCGAATCTAGAAATCGGTGCCTGGACCTAACAGCTGAAATCGCCAAAATTACAAATCAAGAGGTGTATAAAATTATATGGGAATCAACTCTTACATGTTGGACATCTTAACAGTCTGCGGCGGGTCTTTTTCACTCCTTTCCCAAAAAAAAGTCGCTCAGGTGTAGCAGTTCTGCCACATCATACTTACTTATAGTCTGCCGCTCAGCGGGTTTCTTTCTGCAGAGACCACTCTTCTCGAAGTCCTGCTTGTATGAGCCGCAGGATTTCAAGTAAAGTAATGCACATCATATAATAGAGGTTTTGAGGAGTAGCCAATCAAATCGAATGAGAGCAGACATCGTGTTATAATTGGTTGAAAGGGGTGACGAGCAAAACTATTCACATAAAGCAATTTTTCCCTTAACAGAAGAGTGCTGTCTAAAAAATGCTTAGAAACAATGGTCTAGTTTAATTCGCTTATAGTAGTAATTGTCATCAGCACAATGTATATGTTCTTTTTGTTCAATCTAAAACTATCTAACTTTGTAGCTCAAGCGACAACATTTATAAGCACAGCGTTGTTCTTACGGCCAGTCCTTACAGCTCGCTACTGCTATACTTGTAACATGTACGATTAGCAGTACGTCATACATGTAAAAACCCACTCAGATAACTTATTAATGCCAATATTTTTAGCAACAAAACAAAAGTTGTTATATTTTTGTCATTGTACCTCGCAGAAACTACTGAGTAAAGAAAATAACGTATATTAATAGTATGTCCTCGGAAACACGTATTCCCAGCGTGTCCGCTAAGCACCTTGCTGCATTAAAAGCAAGCCTTCAGCTTAGCACTCAAATATTAAAAACAACATGCATTTTTAAAATAGCATTAAAACGATACCACCTTCGGATAATCGATAGCCTTGTACAAATCTCCATACCAAAATTTATCGGACCGGATGACCTTATCGGACCTGTACCAAAACTAGGGTACGCTAAATAAAACCCCTCAAAATCAATTTATTAGTTTATGGCTTAGATATTGTGGCCCACACACTAAACATTATTATTTTACAGAACGCGGGGAGGGAGATGGCGAGGGGCGATGACGGCGGCGGCACGTGTGACAGGAGGGTGGCGACGACGGCATGCAGCAGGAGGGTGGCGGCGGCGACAAGAGGGGCAACACCAAGGACAGGAAGGACAACAAAGACGGAAGGAGCGAAGGGGACAACAACAGCGGGCGGATCCTCAAGGGCTGTGGTGGCTTGCCCGGCAGGGCGGGCGGCAGGCTGCCCGTTGGGTGCGTGCCTGCAGGTGGCACTCCGAAGGGCGGACTTCGACGGTATCGTCGAGTCATCCAGCTATCAGCAGCGAGGATGCCGCCGCCAGGCCCCGTTCAGACCCCGCAAGATCTATTTCCCCACCCGGCAGGGCGGGAAGCATGCTGCCGGCCGATAGCCCGCTGGCGACGCACCAAGTCCAGATGCTTGTCCCAGCTGCTGGTCGTGTCGATGAAGAGCTCGATGCTCTCAGTAGTAGCGTGTAGCTAGCGAGCACTAAATAATGTAAAACATGTCCAAGTAATTGATGCAAATTGTCAATGTCTATTTAAAAACGGGTACAATAATAAGAATTCGCAATGCACCACCTCACGGAAGCTATTAGAAGTTACAAGTGTAGCTACTGCATCTCGTCAGCACAGAGGCTCTTAATTCCATGCATCATGTCGCCATTTAAGCGCTTTCGAGAAATTGCTACGGTATCAATACAACAAATTTTAAAAGCGCAAATTGAGTCGTTTGTACCGAAATGATTACGCCGGTCGGATAAAATGAAAATATGCGTGTGATACGCCGACATCTTAATATTTGTAAAGAGATACACATATTTTCCGTGCCCCTCGGACCTAATACGTCCGATGTGGAGTTTAGATGACCAACCTAACCCTTGACGGATTGATTGGCCAAGACTGACATAATTTTTGGATATGATTGGTTATCCAAAGCAAATAAATATACGATTGGCCATTAAAACTGATAATAAACCTTAGTGAGGTCCGATAAGTGATGATATTCATCCATACAAAGAATTACTACTCTGTTCCATCTCAAATATAGCACTTCTCCTTTGCGGAAATATTTGTAAAACTAATGGTGTGATTTAGATTAACAAGCCCACTACGGAAAGCCCTGCCTTGGCTCTATAAAACAGTATTTTTTTGGTAGATCATAGTCAAACAGCAACGAAGTACAACGCAAAAGAGCTTCATTCGTTTGACGGGGAGGGCGTCGGTTTTCGCAGTGGGTTTCCCAGCGTTGGAAAATTGCTGAGGTTTTCAGGAGAGATGGATTTTGTTACGGTCCTACAAGCTGTAAAACCCGTTCTTCAAAATCTGCTGTCTGTACCGCGTTTGCCTGAAAAACGCTTTTGACCAATTGCATCGATGTATTTACAGTCTGACAAATTTTAGATCTCGCAAACGGTGAAAGTAAATAAAACAAGGTGTGTAGAAAAAAGTTCATTTTCAAATAAAAGATACTCAGAGGTACCTTGCATCCTCCAAACTTGGGAAGCCAGCTGCCTGGCTATTTCGAAGGCTGCCGCGGCTTTTGTTTTGACCCCTCTTGGTAGTTTGTGGTCTTTTAGGAGCTTTGTCAGCCAAATGACAATATTTGGACGGTCATTGACGCTAAGTTGCTTGTGTTTGAGTCGGAGGGCTGGAGGGGTAGTCATCGGAAAAGTGCTTGTGCAGCTCGGCGTGATTGGCTTAGATTGAGGCCCTGATTTTCAGTCGAAATCGCTTTTTACTAGTGGTGTGAAGGTTCAGGCGCTGAACCTTTGTGAACCTCCCGTTACCTCTGCATCCCGAGGTACCCCTGAAAGGTATCTGAATCCCTTCAAACCTACTTCAACTACCTTCTACATCCTCAATGGTACATCGGCGTTAAACTATGCACATACTTTATTCAAGTGTTTTGTTCGTGCTGTGTGTTATCTGAGAAGGCGATCATCATTTTCCGATACCTATGGAGGCACAGCAGCACTCGCGGCGCGAGTCGCGCGGCCATCACACGCCACGTCCTCTCCGTACGCCAGCGCCTCGGCGTGTGCTTTCTTACGATGACGAAGTGCCTACTGCAGTGCCAGCTTCCGTCCCGGCTCAACCATCGAGGTCGTTCTCTCGACAATCGCACCAGTCCCAGCAACAGCTCTCGCTGCAACCGCGGCCACAGCAGCTCTGGCAAGCGCAACCTCTCCATCTCTGGCAAGCACACCAGCCACAGGTGCAGGAGCGGCTCACCCAGCATCCACAGCAATTCTGGCAAGACCGACAGTCACAGACGCAGCACTGGCAGCATCAGACACAGGAACAATTCTGGCAATACCAGTCGCCACAGCAACCCCAGCACCCATGCATCCGCCCTCCTGTTCTCGAAAACGAAGGTGCCGTCATTGACGTCCAGGTACTGCAACAGCGTGCTGAAAGTGAATCGGGATTAGTGCTCTTTACTATGAAACGTCAGAAGAGGAGAGATGTTTGGCATTTCGCTCGGCTCATTCGAAGCGAGGCGTGCAGACAAATTGAGCGTAATGATTTGAATAACGATCATGCCGAGCTCGCGTATTGTTTACTTTGCAGTGCAAAAGTTAAGTTTCGTGTTGGTCAGTCGAAGTTGCCGCAGCATATGGAAATCTACCA